GAAAAGTGTAGAACAATATGAACATGGAGGAGATGAAAAAACGAGCACGAAATGGTAGAGGCACGCGCAAAACGGCTAATTGCTGAGACGAAAATGCGCTCCAGTAATTAAAGGACGCAGCGGGTGTGTCGCAGCATTTAAGTTCTTCTAGTGATGAATATGCAGTGCGGATTCGAAACTAGGCTCGTTCCATCTTGCACCGGCGATTCCCTCATATGCTCGATCGTAGATCCTTTGTTGTTGGGTCCTCGTATCGTCCTCCTAATTGTTTTCGTAAATCTGCGAGCGGCTGCGATGGATGTAGAGCATGTCGTCCTTCTCTCGCTGATCTTACCCTGAAATTATAAGCGAATATAAGCGGAAGCGTACTGAGTGATAAAAAAGTGCACAAACGTGGAGCAAAGCTAGGACTGTCTTACAAATAAAAAAACTCGTCCAAGCGGTAAACACCCGATGCACTCATTATTGAAAGTGCGCCGCCTCACACCATATTGGTTGCACTAGACCTTCATGATCTTACCAGCAAAACTAATATCCGCCTGTTCCATATATTGTATATCTTGTATATCTTTTCCATGTAATTAACTGTTTTCCTCTAGTGTAGCAGCGTTCCATTTCAAGACCAAAGGTTTTGTTTTTGTAAACTATCTAAGCCTTTTACCGGTGCCGGTGCCTGTAAAAATGTATCTGCATCCTACTCAAAGACTTCGTCGACATTTTTTGTAATGGAGCAGCTCGCATTTCCTGGGTCGGGGCCACAGCTTCCTAGAGCTACTAGGCACAGTCGCAAACAAGGATAATTTGCAAAAGAAATACACGGTAAAAGGACCATACTTGTAATCAACGACTCATCCAAACTTGTTCAACGAAAAATAACAAGACACAGTCATGTAATGAAAGCTGCACCGGACATGGGAGGAGGACTGTATGTCGCCGAAAGTAAGAGGGTCCCGCGCGAACAATGCATCAGATACCCAGCCTGTGCATGTACTGGAATTTGTTGTTGCAGACGGCGACATATAGTCCCCTACCCCGGACATCAGAGTCGAAATGTAGTATTGGATGCGTTTGATGTTGAGGAAGGTTTCATTGCAATTTCGCCATAAGTTTTTGAGTTTTGCGTTTTTTGTAGTGGCATAAATATGTGATGTGTCGAGCACAGATAATCTTTATTGATAGATAACAAACTAAGAAGATCAAAAGCTACATAATCATTATGGCACGAACGAAACGGAAAACAGAAAAACAAATCACTGCAATCTAAATGTCAGATTAGCCTGTAAACAGTCAAATTTTTCTAGTCAAACACAAGATTTAACGATTGCTGATTCTGTCCTTCTGCATTTTTCACAACGCACTTATATTTAGCCTCGTCTTCCTTTTGTGGTCCGTAAATTTCCAAAAGAAACTGGTAGCCTTCTTTGTCCTAGAATCATGGAAATTACGTGAATTGATTGAAGGCTGAGTTAACTATTACCTTGTCGTCCTTCTTTACAACAGCTTTGATGCGATCGGAGAATTTGACAGGTTTATCGTCCTAAAAGATATTGAAACATATTCAGACAACGTCTATGAGAAGCAATGATCTGCATTAAATGTAGGTTTGTCATTTTCTCTTTCTAGTTGATTTTGCAATTGATTCGGTTGTCCCGTTTGATTGAAGCCTCGCTAACCTCAAGAAGGTTCCATTCAAAAGCGACTTGGAACAAGTATTGAGTCTATGCTTGCTGAATGCCATTGGTAAGGAGACATGAGCTTTATCAGGGTAAATTCAGAATCATGGTATGTTATGGCCAGTAAGAGCAGTTTTCAAATTGTTAAATCAGTGAGTTGGTCGCTGCGAGCAATGTTAAACTATGTTGTTTGAATAGCCTTACCTTGAACCACTCTGCCTTCATCTCCAAGTGTGATTTTGCTCGTACTTTGATAACGATCACATTTCCATTGTCCCTTTGAACGATATGAGGTTTGTCATGGAAGTCGGGTGCATCTGCAATATTGTAACCAAATCAATGGAGAG